GAATCTGATGGAGTTTTGGTTGAAATAAATGCGTTTAAAATTAATAGGCTGGTTGGGGTGGCCAGCTCGCTTGGGAATTACGTTATCCAACAATGTTGTCGATGCAACTGATCCCTGTCCCGGCCCCGCTAACCCGAAGGATATCCGGTAGGGAACCCGGGGGACGACATCCTTTCATATCGAATCGAAAAGCTCAAATTAGCTGGTGAGGTGAAGCATTCGGGCCCTCGGCCCGTTCCATCCTTCAATTTATCTTGAAGTGATGTTATGTCTCTACTTTCCCCTCAATGGAAGCAGGGTGTATATAGCCGATGGTAGCAATAAAGGTATCCAAGATGCAATGCTTCACTCGATCAACATAGAAGCCCATTAGCCCTAACACAGCTTGTAGATAAGAGTCAGCATGGCTGGTTAGAGCCCGTAGTGTACTCGGTGCGATCAAAGAATTGCAGGTCTTTATCATGCCATAGACGACTTGCTTCCGGCATTTTGGGTTCCTTGACTTTCCCCTATCTTTTCCAATTGCTAAAACTATCCCGACTCAACTGCTTCTCCGAGCCTGATCTTGTTGTAGTCAAGTAACGGTACAATCACCTGTAAGTGTTAGACTAGCTGGGAAACTCGACGATGAGATCGTGGATTAAGGCAAGTTTAGCAGCCTGCTATGTCCAAGACGGCTTCTCGAGTGGAGATTTTAGCTAAGATTTTGGCAGTCAAGCCATCACAAGTAGTGAGAGGTACTAAATTCACAACGTGAATATCTCACCAGATTATCCGCTCACAGATGTAGCAAGTAATACGCACATTTTTTCTCAGCAATATCTTTTTCATCTGTTTCCGAACCACAGAATGTCTGCCATTCGTGCGCAAATGATCCGATTTAGATCCTGGATCGGTAAGAAAATGTAAGCGAGCAAACCAAGCTACAGTATCAGATTCACAATAGAGTTGTATATACAAGCGTCCGGATGGTCCCAACACGCCAACACGCTCATGGAGAGGCAGTCCTCACTCGGAAGTCTGATAATTTATAAGAAGAAGATCGCTTATCCAGACCTCCAGGTATCGACAGAGCTACTCCGGGCGCGATTTATATGATGAAAATGTCTCCGGAGATCTCACTCGAGTAATGGATTGACTTTCTTTACGTTATTTCTTTTGTCTTGTTTGCATTACGCCGGCCGGTTTGTGGCCTTACTTTTCAGGTGGCAGGACCTCGAGAAATCGAGTCCTGCTCACAGGGTGGATCTGCATACTGGGAATGCGCCACCATTTATCGTCGGGAGCGGGCTCTGGGACGCAACCCCCGCATAGCAGCATGTATGTAAAGCGAGCTAAATCGGGTCAATGAATTCATCATCATCATCATCATCATCTCACTCGAGTCTCCCCAATCCAGACCCTAATGCTGTCTCGACTTGTTTGTTTGTGATATCTTCTGGTGGGAAGGGAAG